AACACATGGGTGGTTCAGTCTGGTAAGTATCTGCCTTCTAGGGTCCTGGGATCAAGTCCTCATCACCAGGCTCCTTGCTCAGCAGCACAAGTCTGCCTCTCCCTCTGCCTGCTGCTCCCACTGCTTGTGCTCTGAGAAATAAAATAATGCAAAAAATAATAATAATAAAATAAAATCAATAAATAAACCTCTGTGCCACCCTGCTTCTCAAATAGAAGGGAGTGGTTGAGCACCGCAGGCTAGAGCCTGGAAAGAGAGGGAGGCTACATTCCAGCAGAGGAGACTATCAATAAACAAATAGGAAGTACAAGGTCACAGAGAGGGCTATGAAGAAAATCTGGAGTGAGTTTGAGGAGGCTTCTGGAATGCCATAAATGTTCAATTCTCTCGATCTGTGGGTTGTGGTCCCACAAGTGTATACGTGTGTTTAAGTTTATCAAGCTGTACACTGATGATTAAGAGTTAAAATGTACCAGAAAGCAGTAAACACATGGCAGATGGTAAGAGGCAGCATTCTCAGCCCAGGAGTGAGAGGTTACAGACAAGGGAGAGGAGAACGTGGCAATGATCCACATGTCATGGATCAGAACTGGAGACAAGTGTACGAACTCATGTTCAGTTTACTGGAGATAGAGAAATCGTTAGAGTCGTGTGTATACACACGGGTCAGTATACACACAGACGTTGCCCTGCTCTGTTGGCCAAGAGGACCAAAAAACAGAGACATCTCCGTAGCAACAAGCACACTGAGGAACCAGAGCTTGGTTTCCAATGCTACGCTCCAGTAAAAGGAACCAGGGTGCCCAAGAGAAATTGGCTAAATCCAGGGCCGAGGCAGAAAATATACAAGATGAGCCTAGTGCATCTTTTAGAGGCTAAAAGTGAGAAAGCGTCCAATCCATCAAGTTAGTCAACCGACCCATCAACCCCACTGATAACAAAGGGACACACACAGGAGCTAATGAAAGGGCTCCTCCTGGCCTAAGCTGGACCATCTTTTCAAAGATTTTATTTTTAATTGATCTCTACACACAGCGTGGGGCTCAGACTCCCAACCCTGAGATCAAGAGTCACACGTTTCACTGACTAAGCCAGCCAGGCACACCCTTAGAGCTAGAACATCTCAGCAACTAAGTAAGTAAGAAGCCGTACGGACTACAACCCAAGGTTTGAAATAACAGTGTCATGCTGCTACAAATGACTAAGTAACGAATAACTGGGCAAAAGGGACAAATCTGTCAAAGGGAAGACTTTCAAATAATTTGGATACAAGCTCTGGCCTAAGGAGGTACAGTGTAACCCCCACTCAGTAGGAGTGGGTGGGCGTCGTGACCTCCTTATGAAGAATCTGGCACAGGAGGCTGGTGACCTGATCCGGCCAGCCAGGTGGTCAAGATCGATAGCACCAGCAAGAAAGCACACCCAGGGTTCGCCTGGGTGATTCAGTAGGTTAAGTCTCTGCCTTCAGCTCAGGCCATGATCTCAGGGTCATGGGATCAAGTCCCGAGTTGGACTCCCCACCTTCCCCTCCCTGCCCCGATGAGTGGAGAGTCTGCTTCAAGATTCTCTCTCTCTACCTCTATCCCTCCCACCCCCCCCTTGCTCTCTCTCTAAAAATAAATGCATAAATCCTTTTTTCTTAACGTATCCTTGATATGAAGCGATGTGATGAAAATGCTACTTTACTCGGTGCTCTTCCTCCAAAAAACCCGCAATCCCAGTCCCCCGGAGTCCAGTCATGAGGAAGACATCAGATAAACCCCAACTGAGGGACATCCCACAAAATACCAGAGCAATACTCCTCAAAACTATCAAGGTCACCAGAAACAAGGGAAGTCTGAGAAACTGACAGCCAAGAGGAGACTTAGGGACCCCTAACTATATGTAACCTGGTTTACTGGGTGGGACTTCAGAACAGAAAAGCAACCTCAGTAGAAAACCCAAGGGAATCGGAACTACGTCCAGACTGTAGTTGATAAGGACATACCAACAGAGACTCATCAACTGTGCCAAAGGCGCCATGCTAGTTGCAATGTTTCTAACGGGGAAAAGCTATCACCGTGCGTAGTTGTGCGGGGAGTGGGAGAGGTGACATGGGAACACTCTGCACCATCTTCCCAACTTATTCAGAAACCTAAAACTGCTCTAAAATTACAAGTTACTTTTAAAAATATAACAGAAAATGACGAAATGGCTCCTCCGGACTGGGTGGCCAACAGAGGCCTCTAGGAGACGGGGTCTTAACGATGAATCTGAGAGATAAGAAAGAGAGGCAGCAGGGCCCAGAGCAGCATGTTCCTGGCAAAGGACACAGGACACACAGGGCCCCCGAGAGGGACCAGAGGGGAAGGAGGTGGGCAGCTGAAGTGCACTCGGGGAGAGAACCTGGTAGACTCCCAAAAGAAGGTCGGAGGGTGAATGAAGGTAAATGGGTTGACCCAGGGAGGGAGGCCACAGTGACCTCCAACTTGAGCTGAAGGGCACTGGAAGGTCAGTGGAAGGAGTTTGCAAGATACGCCCCATCTGATCCATCTTCTAAGTGTACCCTAGCTGCTGTAGGGAGAACACCACAGAGTGGGACAATCAAACAAGGGCAGCTAGGGGGATCATCCCTTCAGGTGCCAGTCACTGGGAGATACAAGCTGGTGAAGACCCAGGAGCATCCAGGACTCTGAAAGATGAGAGGGCGGCTCTCCCACCCAAGGTGGGGGGTCTGAGCAAAGCAGGCCTCCCACCCTGATGGATGATCCCTGGGTCTGACCCTTTTGGAAAAGTCTCCACAGGGATGCCTGATGGCTCAGCAGGTTAAGCTTCTGCCTTTGGCTCAGGTCATGACCCCAGGGTCCTGGGATTGAGTTCTACATTGGGCTCCTTGCTCAGCGGGAAACGTGCTTCTCCCTCTGGCTGCTGCTCCCTGCCCCCGCCCAACGCTTGTGCACATGTGCGCTCGCGCTCTCTCTCTCCCCCTCTCCCTCCCTGGTAAATAAATAAATAAATAAATAAAGTCTTTTTTAAAAGAGAGAGAAAAGAAGGAAAGTCTCCACATCGACCAACAGGGCATTCCAAGCACCAAGTGCCCAGGAAGGAAGCGCAGCCTTGGCGGTAGCGAGCCCCTCGGTTGGATCCCATATTTACTATCGGGTTGCTAGGCAGAGCCTCAGCGTCCTCACGTGCAAAGTGGGAACAACACCTCCCACCTCCTAAGGGAACTAAAATAGTTCAAGAAAAGGCTCCTGATACAAACACAGCCTTCGTAAATACGGTCAGTGAGCGCTACCTCTACAAGAGAAGGCCAAAGTGGAAGGATCTTAGAATTTGACCCAACACCCCATTTTAAAGATAAGAACATGAAGGGACAGAGAAAGTGTGCAAGTGAGGAGCCCAGGGAGGACAGATCCCCATGTCCCACTCTCTGGTCTCTCTGTCCCAAATTCCATTCTGACCACAAGGGGAATGGGACATGGTCGCTCATCAGAAACCGTCTCAAGACCCCTCTTCGGGAAGGTTCTTTCCTTGCTCAAAACCTCTCCATAGCTCTCCTGATCATTACAGGTGCTGCTGGCCCAGCAGGGGTGGGGGGAGGGGCTGCGATGTAGAGGCAGCAGCTCTCTGACTAGGCCCACCAGCCACAACGCCTCAGTCTGCTTCTCCATTGCTCAGGTACACCCTCCCCCACTCCCCAGGCACAGACCACCCACCCCCGCAGCCTGACCTTCTCACCTAGGGCACCCCCACACACACCCCAAACCATGCCGCCCCATCTGTGAGGCCAGGCCCCAACAACAGCCAGCTCCCACTTCACAGCCCTCATTATCCGATCTTGCGCCAAATGAAAGGGCTATCTTATAAAAAGCCTCCAAAAGCTTTGTTGTTTTAGATGCCTCTAGGGAGCCACTTCTTATAATGCTCTCTGGCTGGCTTCTAGAAAGATCTAGAATCTTTCTGGCAGAGTCTAGTAACCCTCCCCCCAGCCCTCCCTACCTCCCCCGTATCCCTCAGCTTGGAGCAGACACTCAGTGCCTTGTCAAAGGAATATCCTCACCTTAGTACAACCATGAAGCTTGGAAATGAGCATTTTCATCAACCAAAGATGGGGAAAATGCTCCAGTAGCTCATTCCTAAAAACACCCTGAAGACAAAAACTGAATAACTACTTCCTTCTGGGAAGCCTCCTAAAACCTCACACAGACCAGATGAAAAGTACTGATCCCACAATTATTAGATTTTGAGGAGGGGCGCCTGGGTGGCTCAGTGGGTTAAAGCCTCTGCCTTCTGCTCAGGTCATGATCTCAGGGTCCTGGGATCGAGCCCCGCATCGGGCTCTCTGCTCAGCAGGGAGCCTGCTTCCCTCTCTCTCTCTCTGCCTGCCTCTCTGCCTACTTGTGATCTCTATCAAATAAATGAATAAAATCTAAAAAACTAAATAAATAAAAATAAAATAAAACAAACATCCGTTTTTGCTCTAATTTGCTAACTTTTGTCCTAAAGGCAAACACTGGCCCCAGCATTCCAGAAAGTCCTACATTTCCTCTTTATCTCTAACCAAGACCACCGTTTTCCAAGGAAGTGAGCCAACTTTGTTTCACTTCCGTGATTCCAAAGAGGCCTGTTATTAAAATCAGAAACCCAGCAGCAGCTGGACTTGCTTGCTTGCTTCTAGAACATTCTCTATTTAAATGGTGAATTCCTGAAAGTCACCCTGCAGAGAGGCAGCGAGCTACCCTCCCCCTCGGTCATGATACACACGTAAAATTTACTGAGAGGACAATCCCCCTACCCACCCCCAACAGGCAGAGACCTACACAGACACACAGGGAAAGGAAATCAAAAGGAGAGGGATTTCTCCACAAATTAGGCCCATCCATCAAAGGTTCCTCTCAAAATCGGGGTGTTACAGCCACGGAGCTGAAGCCACACTTCACTGCACGACGACAACCAGAAAAAGAAATTCCAATTTCCTCCTCTGCTCAGGAATAAGATAATTCAAGATTTTTACTCACCTTTGGAGCGAGTAGAGATATCCATGCCCTCTACCACCTCCTGTTCAGTTTTTATTTCCTCTTCGGCCAAGCTGAAACAGAGCAAATTATGTTCACGTTTAGGTAGACTGAGAACTTGCCCCATGGGGGCCGCTGTTACGTTCTAACAACAAACCCACATTGAAGACAACCCCCCATCCTTATGCAGGGCTGGGGGGGGGAACCTCCACACTGTGCTAAGACTCCTAAAGGAGTTCTTCAAACCACTAGGTTGTTCTTTTTTTAAGTCAAATTACTATTCCAGTTGTCATGCTGTTGGGGGATGCAAAAAAAATCACATTTTTAGACACACAATTACAACCTGCCCCCGTGGGCCAATGAGAACCCAGCCGGCAAGTAAACAAGTTACTCCTTGTTCACACCAGGTTCAGGTTGGAGGTGGTTCGCAGGGTACCCCGAGTTCTGATCGCTGAATTCTGCAAGGCAGAGAGCACTTCCCAGACCTCCCGGCTAATTCTTACAATCTCCCAATGAGGCAGAACAGGAAAAACATATATATATATATATACAGGTTAAACTGCAAAATGGGAGAATATGCCCAGGTTAGAAGCAAAAGGCCTTTCAAACCACTTATCCCAGGAATTAGGCTTGGGGTGTCCATACCCCCATCCCCTGGATGTTTCCTCTCTGTTGCACGCATGGCTTAGAGAAAGCATTCAGCACTCTTGAGCTGTGACTAATTATCCCCCACCACAAAAGTGGAATGAGGAAGGATTATTTAAAAGACAGGCTGAGAGATGGGGTTTGGGGGGGATGGGTAGCTAGGAAGCAGGCCCCTAGGCTGGGAAGGTCCGCCAGAATCTTCTCTCACTCTCTCAGCTGGAACTCCCCTTGAATAAGAGTACAGACTACTTCACGTGTCTTCCTCCACCCCCACACACACACCTTCCAAGCTAGCTAGTAGAGTTCTGCTTATTTACAGGTGCAAAATGTTTGAGGTGCTGGAACCTTCCAAGCCTTCAGGCTGACATGGAAGTGATAAGAATGTGAGCAAAGTACTCTTAGCGGCAACTCCATCCGCCTGTGATTCACCATGAAGAAAATGGGTGCATCACCAATTGATACGGCTGGAATTTTCCATTTGGAAGACTCAAAGCCAGGACTGGAGGGAGAGCTGAGCGAGAGAGGAAGGATTAGAATGTCCCTTCTGTGGTCCGTGGTCTGAGACTGTGACAAGACAAAAGATTTGAGTCCAAAAAGTCCTGGAACCTCGGGGTCAGATGGAGATGGCTTTAGGAGAGAGCCATGTCTGAAAGGGCAAGAGGACTCGTGATGGCAACCAGACAGAAAAGGGAAGAAATTACAGCTCAGAATAAAATTAGAACTTCCACACCTCAAATTTAACTAGTCCCAGCAGAGAGAAGAAAGGTAGTTTGAAATTGGAATATTAACACATTAAGCGCTCTGATACGGAACCCTAGTAACAATTTCATTTACACTGTGTCCGTGGAGAAAGCTGTGACACCAATCGCCAAAGGAACAACCGGCATTTTGTCACAAATGGTTTCCATCAGAAGCAGACTCTTAAATTTAAACACTTCGCTAACATGCAATATTACGAGGTGATTTGTGGAAGGTGATTTTAGCACAAATACTTTTACTCCAACTTCAGAGACATTCTCAACTCAGAAACACACACTGCCAGCAACACACACACCGCCCAGATGAGTACTTGCTGATGGTTTCTTGCCTGGGGTGACTGGAAATACATTTTCATAAAAAAATATACACATCTATCAAGCAGCCCTAAGCGACAGGGAGATGGTCAACTTGAAAAGAACAAATAGCAACCTTGATCTTTCTAGCCACTAGAATTCTGCTTCCCTCTCTGAAATGAAATATGTGAAATCCTAAAGTTCCTGCAACCGATCCCTTATTCTGAGGGATGGAGAAAAATGCTCATCTGGGATCCCACCCAAAGGTACAGTGATAAAACAGGCAGAACAGAGCCCTTAAAACCCAACTGCAAGACTTCTGCAGTGATGAAAACATTCGAAAGTGTATTGATCATGGAGGACTGCATTCCTGAGAACAATTATTTGGCTTGTGGGAGCCCAGGAGGAGAAGGAGTCCTTCAGGCAGGGATGCTGCTGAGAAGCCAGACAAATGCAAACTAGTTAGGTGGTGGCTATTTGCTGCTGCAGAAAAGAGGGGAGAAAAGTGAAGCGGTTTTATCTTTCCAAGTATTACAAGTGGGCCCCATAATCACCTAACTTTAGCAACAGCACCACCAGCTTCAGCCAAGGATTTCGAGCACAATTTCAGAAAACCATCTTTTCTCGCAAATCAGCAAGCCATCCTTTCACAAAGGGAACCCATGCACACACATGCACGCGCACACAAACACACACACACACACACACAATAACTTGCATTTGACTAAAGGAAATTGCAGTGTCTCTGCGTTAAAAGGGAAAAAAACTTCACTTACAAGAGCAAAGACCAGAATGCAAAATGAGTCATACTGAACAGCCACATCTAAAGGGACTTCCTTTTTTCTACACCACTGATCTCAGGTTTTTTTTTTTTGGTGGTTGTTGTTGTTTTTTTTTTTTTTTTTCTGGTTGAATATTAAGGACTGATATGTTATTAAGGGAAAAAAATTATGACTATTACATCAAAAGTGATAGTGAGAAAAGATCTGTACCTGTCTGAGTGGCCCACAGATCATGGTCAATTTAGGTTAAAAACTGTTCAGTCGTTTGGAGGGAAGGAAAAAAAAGTCAAATAACCATAATTGTTAAAAAGGAAAGGCAGCTGCACCTGGAGAAAAGACTCTGAACTCCTGTCATTAACACATTAAAGTCTTAGAAAATACACAGCATCTTTCCTATCCGCTAGCTTCCAGCAACCACAATTATTTAAATCAAAAACAATGGAACAACAAGCCCTTGTTTCAAACTGACGTTACTTTTTTTTTTTTAAGGTCCACTGGGGAGCTGGGGGCCCACTAAAGAAAAGGGTAAAATTAGCTGAAAACCGAACAACAGCCTTTCACCCCAATAGGAAAATACACCATCAACTAGTTGTGTACACTGTCTGTTCCCACTGCCACCCTTCTCGCACTCACATTTGCCCTAAGTCACTTGCCTCTGGATTTCACAAACTGATACGTTTCAGGCAATTAAAGAAGAAATAACAGCGTCTGCAAATACAACCAAGACTTGCCCGTCCGGTCCCAGAAAGAATAAAAGATGTGTCCCCCAGTGCCTGAGCAAGAAAACCCAGGCTTGCTTCTTAACCTGCACGCGTTGAAAAAGAGCAATTAAAAGTTGCAGAAGAAGTGCATCACCTCCAAGATGTTTTAAGCCCTCTGATTATTAATTCTGAGGGCTCAGGGCTGGTCCGTAAATCCCAGGAATGCCATCCCCTCAACACTTTCCAGAAGAGAGAGAGAAAGAAAGAAAAAAACATCCAGTTTTGACAGGAGAGAAAAAAGAAAAAAGAAGAAAAAAAAAGCCTGGATACACAATGCCCAGACATTTCCTTTCCCCAAGTGCCCCTACTATTTGACTTTTAACCAAGAATATCTAACCCAGCTAGAATATATAACCAGCATGCACAAGACTCTAGTTCTACAGAGGAAGCTCTCATCGCACGGCAATTCCAAGAATCATGCATCATTCGCAAGGACTTTTCCTGTAGCTTTTTACTTTCATTCAAAATACCAAACTGGTCCAGGCTGCAAGAAATATTTAATCCCCAAGACACAACATCTTCCTCTGCTAGATCACAAAAGAGTGAACATCAAAATAAGAAAACCATGCTTCCCTAAACCTGCAATTAATTTTTTTTTTTTAATTGGGGGGTGGGGGGAAGGGAATGGTTAGCAGAGCAGCTTTATGTAACACTCACCTAAAACAGGCAGAGTCATCGGGAGCTAAGCTATTTATGCAGGATTCTTAAAATGGCGTCTGGCAACACTGCCTCATTCCTGTATTGAAGCTAAAATGGTAGCAGGTTGTTCAATAGCTGCGGCTCTCTTGTGGAAGCAGCCCTGCCAGTTTCAAAGCCACCTTCCTAAATATCAGAACTAGGAAAAACTCAACCAAAGGACACCAACAACCCAACGTTTAGGAGCTTAAAAAAAAAGAAAAAAAAATCTGCAGTGACAGGGGGAGTTTGTGAAGTCACAGGTTCCTGAGGAAAACCCTTTCCTTTTAGATCCTGAGCCTTCCACACGAGGCTCTGAAGATGGGGGCCCCCTTGCCCTCAAATTAGGTGGGTGGGAGGTTAGGAATTCTGCAGCCCTGTGGCTTAAAAGGCAGGCAGACAGGTGTCTCCACAAATGCAAAAATGTTAAAGGGAGCAAGCTGGGGAGGGGGAGGAAGCCCATTCCCCCTTCTTGATACATCAGAAACCAGCTCTGCATCCCGACCAACAAGGAGCTAGGTGAAAGGAAAGTGTGCTTCAAGGACAGCAGCCATCTGAAAAACCAAGCTAGAGGGCTGCACCCCTGTTCTGAGGCCAAGGTAAAAGAAAAAGGCTGTTTATAAGCCTGAAAACGGCCACCAAACACCCAGCCAGTCCTAAGACAGTTAACCTCAAGGAAAGACAATCTGCGTCTGCAGAGGAGAAAAAAACAGTCAAACACTCGCTTAGCCAATGCACGGGATACTCACAAATCAGATTTTTGTCCACCCCCAACAGAGCCCTGAAAATTAACAATGGGTTTTGCAAAACCCGCTTTCAGAGGCCGAACTAGCAGCCTTGCAGTGGATAATGTAATTTACTGGTACAGGTCTGAGAATTGGCCTCACCACTCAGGCGCTGAGTGGGGAGTTTCAAGGTGACTGCTTTTTAGCTCCAGGGGAGAAAGGAGGGCATGGTGCCCAAGGCTGTGCCGGGGCAAGGACGGGAGGTTGGCTCCTCGCCGGCCGGTAGGTAGGTAATCTTGATGAGGAGGGACAGGCTGACAGCAAAGCCAGCCGCACTGCTGACATGGCTCCCGCCTGCTTGTTTATCTGTAAGGAGAGTGGGGAGTGGGGGGAAGGGCAACAGAGCCTTAGCAACCTGGAGCCAAGGGTGAATC